TTCCTCTTAATACTATAATGACAATAAAAAAGGTCTGAAAGGCCATTGGCAGGTAATCGAATTGGTTAGGAAGAAAAAGAAAAAGACATCGTGTCGCTGGAAGGCCGTTGTGGACTCTCCCCTTGTATGAGATGTTCGCCAGACCACGGCCGTCTGGAAAAGTTGAACTCCTTTGAAGTCCTTTCTGATTGATGAAGCACTTAAATTTATGAGGTTTGAACCGCTGAGACATATGGGTGTTTCAAAGAGTGTTTGAGAGACACTGAAAGTTCTTTTGGAGGTGAGGTCTGGAGGTACCTGTCAGTCGAGCCATCACGCTGGACCGAGGAATACCCGCTGGGTACACAGGAGACTATGAAACAGATTGACTGAAATTTGAAAGACAATAAATGCTGCTTAATGTCAACGGACGCTGGACCCAGTTTGCAGCAGGTGCAGCTCCCCACCAATGGAACGGGGCCATCAAAACCGGGGGCAGTAGAGGCCCGGGGTGTCTGCTCTTACCAGAATCCCTCTACTCCCTGTCGCCAACGTTCAAAAAAAAAAAGAAAAGAAAAAGAAAAGAAAGGAAAGAAAGCCAAAAAGGAGACCTGGCGGTGGTGCAGATGTACAATCTGCATCCACCAGCAAATCCCAACTTGCAGTCAAGTCTTAGTTTTGTTTATGTTTGAGATGGGCATCGTAACCTGCGCCGATTTGGATGATGTCACCCCCAAGCTGACCACTGAACCTTCGGGCTTGGATGAGGGTATAAAAAAGGAGTGGTGGTTTAATCTGCACCAAAGAGCAGGGTGGTGTTATGATCCTTTTTTTTTCTTTCTTTCTAGTATGCTGACTTTAAGATACCATCATGGAACTGACCCGCCCTAGGTAATCTAGAATTGTAGTATTTCACTCATCTGCTTTGAGTGGAGTCCGAACTCGGGGTCTATAGTTTAACAGTTCAGGGGTGTACCACATGAGCTAGCCTAGTTGGTAGAGGTGTTGTGATGTTGTTGTTTTTTGGGACAATGCTCCAATCTGTTCGTGGGGAGCAACACGTGCAGGGAACCGGGCCCACCATCCGTAAAAAACATATGCTGAACAATTTGAAATACCGGGGCCATTACCCGACTTCGGCTAGGAATAACAGGGGTATTCTTGAACAATTCCAATCAATCAGAAGTTTTTTCACAAGACAATGCCAGAGCTACCCACCAATCTCCCACTCCATGGCGAACGAGACGGGGAGAGGAATCCAACCTCTTCCACTGTGAAAGTGGACAAACCACTTGCCGCTATCTGCCTCCGCAGGTCAACACCCCCAATCAACCCCGGCCCCATACTAGCACAACCCTCAATTACTGGCAGTTTACTGCCCTTATCCTCCCAGACGCAGCACTAACCACCAAGCTGCTACCTTCGCAGGGTAGGACTCTCTCTCCTCCCGGCACTAACGCGCAATCGTCTGATGAAGAGGCTTCAGCACACAGCCTCTGGAGTGCCCCCCTTCCCCACAAAGGAAATAACCACCCCTCTGGCCTTCAAATGCCCCTGCCGAAAGGAGGCCCCCTTCTCCTCATCGGCCCCAGTTCAGACCAAGGCCCCTAGAAGGTCACCCCCACTCCCTCAAGGGCATACAGTTCCCACCAAAAGTAAGCCCTGGCGGAGCAGCGATTCCCCCATTCCCACCATCCCATCCTCTCTAAATGAGATGCACCACCTAACACCACACCCCGCTGACAAGCAGTGCCCCTTGTCTCTATCTGCCCCCGCCAGGGCCAACCTGGACCCCAACAATCAGCCCCGACCCCAGAATAGAGCAAACCCTCATTTCCGTCCCTACTCCATCAAGAACCTACACCTGGCTCCTTGTGTAGTCCTCGCAGAGTGAGGCTCCCATCCTCCAGGCCAAGAAGCCCACCCCTCAAGGAGGACATGCTCCAGGAAACCCCGTGACCAAAACGTACAACAGAAGGCGCACAAGTCCTCCTACATCCAGAATGCAAAAGAGTCCTTTCAGCCTCAACCTCAATTGCATCTCTAACTGTGGTTCATCCATGCTCATCACAGATGTTCCAAGGAAAACGCAACTACTACTATGCCTCTCCCATCTCATCCCGCCATAGCCACACTATCAGATGAAGTCCAAGAGCAGCCTGTGCGCACACAGGGGCCTTCTAGAATCTAGATGCAGCGCCAGCCAAGGAAGACTAGTGTGGGTGAAGGTCCATCATAGCCAAAGGTGAGTGTCCCATGTTCGTTCCTCTCTCTCTCTCTCTCTCTCTCTCTCTCTCTCTCTCTCTCTCTCTCTCTCTCTCTCTCTCTCTCTCTCTCTCTCTNTCTCTCTCTCTCTCTCTCTCTCTCTCTCTCTCTCTCTCTCTCTCTCTCTCTCAACCTCTACACCTGTCTTCTACCCTTCTCCATAGCTTGGCATGAGGTGCTTTACCTCCATAGCCTAGGCCTACACGGTCTACACCCTACTACTATTACTACATAGCCATGGAGCCTGAGGTCTACTTCCTCACCTTCAGCTCCTCCGCTCAGCAGGAGCTCCACCTGCCTTCACCCTCTGCGTGGAGCAGCAGCATGATTTCCGGGTAAGGTGTTGCCTCACTCATTGCGCCTGAGTGATATGCTCTTGCAACTTTGGCCTCCGGCATCCCTTGGCCACGGTACTACTGCCTCTTCACGTGTGGGCCTACTGGAAGTCCCTGCCTTTTGGCTGAAACATTGTGGCAGCCTGCAATCCTACTTCAGGGCCTGAACCCAACCTACCTGCTATCTAGGTATGGGACCTGATTGCTAATTACCGTTTTGAAAGCTACTGGTCAGTTGGGCTTACCCGAGCTGCTGGAAAATCCTCTGCAATCCCTCACAGTGAAGGCTGCATACCGTCTACTACGGCCTAAGGTGGATGGGGTAGCTATGCTGCAGGACTGTTAGGCAAAACACCTCAACATAATTGGCCATTGTGCTCCTTCTGGCAACCCCATCTGTAACACCCTATCAGACTAGGACTGCAGTTAAGCATGGAGAAAAGTTGTATATGCGATCTATCCCAAAAATCCTCTGAGGCTTCCCCGAATCTGCTTTTCAATTTCTCAATAGCCAATCTGCCAGCTGGCTAGCTTTTTTATCTTCCGGGTCAGACTGTTGACTTGCCTCCCCCATTTCGAAATCTGTAGGGGAAGGGATCGACATCCATTGGCACCGGTCCAAAGGCTGCCTGGAAAGAGTCATTCACTGTTGTAGTCTCTTCACCCTGATCTGTTGTCTGTGTTTGTTGTCTCTTATCTGCTACAGAGACCTGTTCCACGCTCTCAGTATGTGTACCAGAGACCAACAGATCAGACTAATTTTGAGTCTTTGACCCTGTGACTCAGCCTGCATTTTTCCCATAGGAGAATCCCGTATTTCAGAGACATCAGTGGACTGATTTCTGTTTATTATTATTATTATTATTTTTCTTTTCTAAGTTTTCTTTTCTTTCTCCTCTAAACGAGGTTGAAACACCCTGCTTAGGCTGAGAGAGACCCCGTGCTGCTATGACTTCACAGATCACATAATCTCCATTAGCATCCTCTTCAAAATCCTATTCCTCTACTACCTCAGTTGCAGAACCAGTTTCCACTAAGTGCAGATAATCTTGAGGCTGTGGCCCTGGAAGCACTACCATCCTGTGATTTTGACTGGGAAATACACAGTTCTTAGACCCCTCCCCAGACACCTGATTGGTTGAGGTCCTTGAGGATGAAGTCTCTGAGATCCCAAAAGACCCAGCCTGTTATATCTTCGACGCCACACGGGTCCTACCGGACCCGACTTAGGGCTAGAGGGACACATCAGGGCCTAAAGGCCCGACCTTGGGGGTACTACAGGCCATAAAGGCCTCACCTTGGACCAGACCCGACGGGCAGGCCCAAACGACATTACCGTTTGGGCCTGGCGGCGCTCTTGAGGCTGCCGCCCGCCGGTTGGGGCTGAACCGTCCATCTGGACGGTTCAGGGCACGGCCAGGCCTCGCAGCATTGAGGCCGGCCTCTGCCCCACCGGTATATAGAACCGGTCCAGCCTCAGTCCAGSATSGACCTACCGGCATTCTACCGGTACGGTATGGTACAGCGCTAATCAGCGCTGRCGCTATCTTTAGCGCAGGAGCAGCGAGGAGCAGCGCAGCGCAGCATTAGCGCAACAGTAGCGATCGAGCAGCAGCAGCGGCGACTGAGTGCACCGGCGGCCATAGCCGCCCGAGGTATCGGGAGTTGGAGGCCTCTCTCCTCCCTCCCCTCGCCAGTCCCCTCTGTCTCTCTCCTCCTCGGCTCCTTCTTCTTCTTCTTCTTCTTCTTCTTCTTCTTCTTCTTCTTCAGACCAGAGACCTATACTAGTTGGACAGAGATCAGTGTTGGACTTCGGTGGTATGAGACTGTGGTACTCACCGGATTGGAGACTTGGAGATCGTTGGGGTTGATACTTGGCGACATCACGGTTCAGACACCGGTTACATTTGGACTCTGTATCCCCGACATTGGTGACCTATGGTCCTCGACATTTTGATCTTGTTGGATGACATTTTGGACTACCATATCGGTGACCTATCAGATTCTATCTCGGTGACTTTCGGTGCTGTCTACCTCCCCCCCCACCTCTTTGTCTCTCCTCCCCCATTCATCTGTGTATGTGTGTATGGGGCTGAGCATCTTCTATGTATGGCTCAGACCCCACCACCTCACGATTGCATGTGTGTGGAGTGATGCTATGTGAGTCAGTCTATGTGAGTATCTGACCCCATTCTTCTGAAATTCGTTTATGATTGCAATTATTGTTTATTGATTATCTTTATTGCAAATAATGATTATGGGTTATCTTTATTACAAACATTGTTTTATTGATCATCATTAGGAGTATTTCGTTATTTATCATTAATTAATTTTGTTGATTAAATCGTTATTAATTCCTTATTACGAATTTTTGAGCGGTTTACGGGAAATTTATTTTTCTGTTTGATTAGGTGTCTACAGTCCATCAGTGGGACAGGGGACTGTATGCGTATTGTTTGATTGTTCTACCCCTGTTCCCACTCTCCCTACCCTCTCCGTATTCTGTGACCACCGGGACCTCTCAAGTACCGCATCAGTCCACACTGATGTCGATGGAACAGGATACCGGGGCACTGCCACGGCGCAGTGCCAGGCTCGCAGTTCTTGCTCGACCTACGGTACCTCCACGAACCAAGGCTCAGCAACAGAGACTCAGCAGGCGGACGACTCCAGCGGCATCGAGTACAACATTGACGGTACCGGACACCACCGGAGTTCTTCCCGCATGCCCGGTCCGAAGGGCCAGTGAGCCGTTGGCTGACTATTTTGGGCGGCTACAGGTATTTACAGATGCCGTAGCTGCCGCCAAGGCTCAGCAGGAGGCAGCAGAGGCAGAACGTCAGCGGTTGGCCAATGAGGCGGCAGCCCAAGCTCAGCAGACTGCTAAGGCTGACGCAGCAGCACGAGACCAACGGAATGCCGCCAGTACGGAGTCCCTGATTCATAGTGAAAGTCAGTGGACAACGTTCCTCCAAGGCATGATCTTTGTGCCTTCGGACGCGCAGGCAGACCCGACACCGGCGGAGGCAGAGAGGACTCACCTGGCTAACTTGATGCTGGGCATGATGAGAGGCATCATGTGGAATAACACACTGCTGCAGGCACATCTGCGCACGGAACGACAGCAGCGACAAAAGTACCAGCAAGACATTGCTGTTTTAACAACTGCCATCCGCGCCGAAGCAACGCAGCAGCAGCAACAGCATCAGCTGTTGAACTCCGCTCTCGCACGCATCAACAGCATTGAGGCTAACGCCTCAGCAGCGCCATGTTGCACGACAGACGCGACGAAGCAACTCAATGAGCGCATCGATCACAACGTCACCATCATCGGCGACATAGGTGTTTTCAATGGGCCGGACACGATCAGTAGCACGGTGGCTGCCATCAAGACGGAGATCACCAAGCTGCAGACGAGACCGGACGCCGCTACAAAGACTTACAAGATGCCGCACTTCGACATCAGCAAGTTCGACGACTACAACAAGTCGGACGCCTTGACATGGTGGCAACGTTTCCTCACGGAAGCATCATGCTGCACGGTCCCGGCAGACGACATGATGAAGGCACTCTACTTGCAACTAATTGGAGGAGTGCAGGCTTGGATGAACCATCTGGCGGCTACCAACAAATGCACCATCGCCGACCTCCACACGCACATCACGTGGAAAGAGTTCGAGAAGCTATGGTTCACCCGGTTCATGGTCCGCAACGTTGTGAAGGCGGCCATGAACGAGGTGTACACCTGCTCTCAAGGAAATATGCCAACTCGAGATTGGACAACCAAGTGGCAGAAGATAGKGACCACGCCAGGATTCGATTTGAGTTTTCCAAATCAACGATCCGAGTTCTTCTCGCGATCGTGCGCGGGACTGCGGTCGGCACTCGGCAACGAGTACGACTATGACACGTTCCAGGCCATTC